ACTTCCTTTCCCCTGGCGGAAATATACCATCAAGCTACTGAGAGTGTTGCAGCAACATTTGTGCTGCTATTTATCATCTTGTTGGCAGAGATAGCGTCTTTGTTGGGGTGTTATGTCGTTGTGGGTTATCTTGATAAAAGATCTTCACTGACCTTGACTCATTCGGTTTCGAATCGTCACAGTTGGGAAGATCCTGGTGGGCCCTGGCTCGAGATAACGCAACACCCTTTTCGGAATACTTCATCGAAGTGTCTGTCAAACTGAGTTGCCCAGTCCGGTCTACTCTGTTATGCTGTATGATTCTCGGGCCCTTCCAATCTCGGTAGTTCCATTGATATCTTTCCTTTACACAGTGATTCTTTGCATTGGCCTAGGCGCTATTCAACTCGGCAGCCCAACTGCCTTCAGCGATCTTGTGGGCTCCTCTATCATTCTCACTGCTACTTCGTATCTCCTCGCCATCTTGCCACATCTTCTTTCCCGCCTCTCCCCTTCCGGACCAAACGTTATTAAAGGTCCATTTTGGATGGGTCCATTCCTTGGCCCAGTGGTCAACGCCCTCGCGGTATTGTTTATCATACTGACAAACATAATCTACTGTTTTCCTTATTTCCTCCCCGCCAACGATGTTTCGGTCTCCTACAATTCAGTTATATTAGTTGGACTAAGCCTTTTAACTGGGGCTTGGTGGTTCATCCACGGGAGAAAGCGGTATCCTGGAACATCTGTCCCGCATCTAGATGAGAAGAGGAAAATAACTGAAGACATCATATGACAACTTACTCATTGCTTGGTACTTTGGCTGTAAGTAGTCAACAGTGACCAAATCGGTCGACTCGCCAATTATACCGCACATAGTACTATTAGCTATTTGCTAGAGTTTACAGACAGTAGAGCACATAAGTATAAAGGCGAATACCAATTGGCATTACTCTACAGACAGGAACAGAACCAAAGAAGGCAATAGTGATAGCCTAGTACTAGTGCAATTTTGCAATTACATGTGAACCAACCGCGCTGGTAATCGGTAATCAATGAAACCGCAACACGAACCAATTGTGAAGACCATGCTACACACTCGACAAGCAAGGAGAGGCGTACGTACACACATCCGTATGGATCCTCAGTGTAAGTATAACGAGTTTGCCTAAGGGAGACTAACTGAGATGATCGTTATAAGTATTGGCAGCGCCATCTTCATTGGAGACAAGTGGTACAGGAAACAGAATCTACATTGAATAACAAGTTGAGAGCAAAGACCTTATGACATTATCTGACATAGTTATCGATTAAAAAGACAATACATACAACGACTTTCCGATTGCTTTCCGACAAGTGAGCTCCACACTAAGAGTTGTTTTAAGATCTAGTAAATGAAATAAATAGTTTGAATTTTAATCAACGAAGAACCTGACTCCGGGTCTAGAAAAAATTGAAAGCCATACCGGTATCCGTAAAATCAAGCTGCGCAAAACCAGGTGAGGAGCTGATATCCCAACCGCTAGGGATAGATGCCACGGTGAAAATACAAGTTGTTTCCAAGTCTTCTTAAATTGCCGAACTTGGACGGGACGATGTTAACGTTCGCAAAAGTGCATATAGCGGTGGTGGTAGCGATAAGGACTAAGTAGAACAACCGTGGAGGTTTTGGAAAAAAAGATGGACGTCCGACTGCCAAGGGTCTATGGAGATTTCCTCGGTACTTATCCCTTCATGCTATACTCGTTTTAAGTATTCCTTGCATACCTAAGTATTTAATTCGGCAGGTTCAAGTCAGTAAAGGTTGGTAATTACCAAAACAGGCAATTGATTTCTGCAATGTACTCAACTTGAAATTTCTTGGGCCTTGAAACAGGCCTTTGATTGACTGTTGGTGGCAATAAGGAGTAGTTTGGTCTGGTAACTATCTAGGATCTTACAGCTTTCGAATCAGGAGGCTATGATAAATCCAGGATTTGAACAATCACTGTACTTAATATACCCACTAGGAAAGTACGCTCCCTTGCATACAATAGCATACAACTGAAAAGCGGCACCCCTGAAGGGAGTAAGCATGCTACCTCATTCTACTACAGGCCCCTGGAGCCAGGTTCAGCACTGGTTCAGCCAAAAATGGCCAGATCTTACTTCTCCAGATTTCGATCTCCTAGGAACATGAACAAAATTTGAGCGCTACTTACTGCTGTAGGGAAACAGCAAAAGTTCGGGCAACAGTGGGGACCTGGGGGAAAGCACGGTCACAAATACCCACCTTTGGGGGTAAGTGTCTATAGTAGGTACACCCCGGGGCTGCTGCGGCATCTTGATCATGTCCATGAGCATGAGCTGGACCGTGGTAAGATATGTAAGTGGGCCCCTGGCCACCCAGTTGGAGTACAGACCATAGAGTCGAAGCTAGACTATGAGCATGAGATGGAGTGATACGAAACGACGCCTTTGGGGCCACTTCGGGGGGCGTGTCCGAAACAGAGTGAGAGGCGCTGTCTATCGCTTGAAGCCAGAGGCCGATTAGTCTCATACCTGCGAAGGTATCGGGCAACACACACAGGCGGGTGCGTCGTGGAAGCCCAATTTAATTGATAATCGGAGGGTGCAAGAGAATTTTCTGTGATGGGGATGGCGCGGAAATTATGCTCGGGGAACCCAGAAGAATGTCAGTCGAGCCATCCCAATAGCACAAAAAATCCCGTAGTCTCGTATGCGGAACTCAGAGAAACATAGCACTGGTTAAATTACAACAGAAATCTTTGTTTAGTACCAATCGACCTCGTAGACCTCGTTGTCGGGCCAAATATCGAACCTTTCTCCGGCCTCACTCCGCGCCTCCTTTATATTCCTTGAGTTCCTGGGCCCTCGCCCCAAAATTCACCGTATTGCGTTGGTCGATAAGGAAGGCCTACGAGTTTTCAACAGCAAATTGATTTTTGTATTTTGAAGTTTGGCATGCTTGCTACTGGTTCCTTGTGACTGCATCAGGAAAATTTGTCTACTGTAAAATTAGTGGAAATCACAGTGCTCTTCATTGTGTATACCTCAAATTATGAGGTGAAACGTTTTGTGAAAGCCCGTACTGATTGAGGAATCTAGCAACCTGTGTTCTGAGCAATGTCGATTGACCGCTAGTAGGAAAGAATGAAAAGAAAATACATTATAGAAAAAATCTTACCTGCCAGAAGCCTGAGGAGGCTTTTGCAGCGACAGTGGTCGTTCATACTGGATGATATAAAATAGACGTCTACTGTCTTCTCATGCTAGATACCTTAATTGACTCTAAGCCCCAGTAGTTTGAGGAGGAGAAAAAAAATACCTCTGTTTGGGTTTTCCTATAAATCTCCCTGGCTGGGAGTCGAACCCAGCTTTCGCGCGACGTCGAAGCATGAATATGACTAAGCCATGACAGGCGCGTGTACTAACCGATATACTACCAGGGACGTGATTGTAATCGATTATAGCACGGTAAGTTCGCACTTGTTGCCGGAAGATTTGATCTCACTTCAACGTCGTGCACTCCTTCAGTCAATCTACCGGAAGATCCTCGTTCCCGAAATATGCCCACATAGAGTCACTACTAGGTACAGTGCCATGCGTTGAGCTTGCGACCCGTGTTTCGTCGGAGGACCGAATAAGACAAGAGATCCCAAGTAGTTTACTTACTCCGTCACTTTATATACATATAATGGTTAACGTCGTTCACTCCACTCACCCCAGAGAGTAATAGAATAAGTAACCGATCAAAGCAGGACAACCCAAGGGCAATCGCAAATCCTTTGGACGTTATCCGGACATAGGCGTGCGGGATGTTCGGCATCCCACTGATTACTCCTAAGTATCTGAGGCTGTCTCTTGCTATCCATCTAACAGGCTGAGCAGCTCCTCGTGTTCTCTCGATGGAAATTACCGACAATTTTGATAGATTCCAAGCATGCCCGAGTTTTTCGCAGAATCTTCACCCCTCATCCGGCGAATCCAAAGCCAGATGCCTCTTACAACCGTTATACGCCTAAACACTCATACTTTGTAGTTCCGAAAACCGGGAGGGACAGACTGCCTCCGACGTGCTTGGATCACAAGGTCCATGCTCCTTTCAAGTATGCTGTGTTTTTGAACGAGAAGCGAGAAAGGGTACTCTAACCAAAAGTTGAAGGTATACATACACATAAATAACCGATATACGTAAAATCAAATTCAACCGTAGTAAAAGACAAGTTTTGTTGAAATTCTCTTGGCCGACCTGGATGGTGGTGGTGTATGGGTTATGTAGCAAAACAGCGATCATAGCGATTACCGGGGGTGGAAATAATATTTCCTTAATCAGCTTAATCTCGCCCTCTTCATGCATCGTGAGCCAAATGTTACTTTTATATACTCCGGCTAATACGGGCTAAACCATTCCACGAATAGTCGTCTCAAAGTCCTCCGGCTCGCGTCCAAGTATGTCCTTCAAGAAAGGTGTGACAACTGCGGTGGCTCCATGGCGTATAGCATCGAATGCAGTTGCCCATTCCCTTGCCATTTTTTTGCCGTTGATCGAGAGGGCAGATTCGACAACCGGTTGTGCAATATATTCTTCGACCGAGACCTCGCGAATAGAAACCTCTTTCCCTACTACCCGACTAAGAGCCTGTGCAGTCTCTTCTAGAGACCATTCGCGTGGGCCCGATAGTACCAATTTTTGATTTTTATGTTGGAATTCAGCTGGGGAGGCGTAAAACTGGGCTAGAAGGAGCGCTGAAGCCTCGCCAAGTTCGTCTATCTTTGCCCAAGCAATACCAGGCCCAGTTCCATTGTGAGGAATGCGAATCTCGTTAGATGGGTTTTTGATATTGAAGAAAGCGGTATAGATGGGGAAACCCTCCGAGTAAAGGCCTTCTCGTATAGATGTATAAGAGAAAGGCTGGACCCTTGCTGGCTAGTTCAGCGAGATATATCTCCGTATCAAGATGAGCTTGCATGACCTGAGCAACTGAGTGATCACTGTTGCCTGCAAAGGCCAACGAGGTGTAGAATATGTGCGTCACTCCGCATGCGCGAGCACAGTCAATCGCAAGCTTATGAGCCTAGGATTTTCAACTTGTCATTGGCCTCGATTACACGGTTGTGCAAAAGCTCAGACCGACCTTTGAACGATGCTCATGCTGAAAAGTTATATATGAAATAAGAAATAGAACATCGATTCCGGAAAATGCACTCTCGAGGGTACTTGGATCGTCATAGTCAGCTGTACGAACTGTGACGCCAGCATCACGGTAACTGTCCAATTTAGAGGGCGAACGTGAAACTAGAACTAGATCGTGTAGAGGTATGAGCTTGCAAATGTGCTTTGCCAAGCTTCCACCTAGCTTTCCAGAGGCTGGGAAAATTGCGACTTTCATGAGAGGATGGAAGAGAAACCGGATAAGGGCAGTTTCTCTAGCCGGCGGCCTTCCATGAGGATTCTTTTGGAAAAATATTCACTCCACCGGCTTGATTTTCGGCATTTCCAGGATCAATTCCTCCACAGTGACACAACCCACTATAGTAAGTACTGCAGTATTCCAGGCGAAAGAGATGGAGAAGTCAGTTACTGCGTATCTATGCTCAGTCTTGTTCACTACTTTAATTGCCAGTTCCCCTCTGGCTCATCCACATGGTTTATATCCGCGGAGACTCGGAACTATGAGAGCAAAACAAACTCCTAAATGACGTCAGAACATGTACCTAATGCTCTACAATAACACTTGAACTTCCGGTTCCCTCCTAAAACCAGTTACTCCATCCGCAGTACACATTTGGCGCGCCTCGGTTCTTCCTTCCTTCCTTCCTTCCTTCCTCCGTACTATTCACACGACGAGTCTCGAAGTTATTTCAGAAACACCCTTTCCACTCTATCCTCTAGAATCTCAATCCCGCGTCCAAATCTACCCGGCAACTATCGATTTCACTCTCCTCGCCTTCTAAGGTTAGGTCTAGGTCCTCTCCGGTCAAGACCACCCCGGGGACCGCATAGCAGCACCATTACTAGTAGGTCTGCTGCGGCTTCGAGTTTCGTTGGCGCAGCACAAACGCCGCCTCTGCCAACGATGAAGATTTGAAGCGGATAACAAGAAGATCATCGAAGAGGTGGTTGGGGAAAGGTTAAACCCATTTTTTATGTCTAACTATACCTCGACTCGTTAGTGTCAAGAGGTTTTAGAGTCTGCCTTCGGGAGACAAATGTCAAGTACTAAATCGACGAATGGCCTCGTGCGAACTTAAGGCGCTTAGGGCGCTCAACACTTCTTTCCGATGACTTCACCTTGCTCAGGATGTGCTAATTCTTTGCGGATACGTGTAAACCTCAGCCCTGAGGAACTATCTGCATTGGATCACGATCTTCGCTTTGAATTTGGACCATTCGTGGTTACTCCGGAACGAGCAAAGGAGCTCAGGACCATAGTAGCTCTGGCTGATAAGGATCTCGAAGATCATGATCGCCTCCATGACTCAAGCGTGATTCTTCGAGCACAAAAACAACGGCTTGAGACACAAAGAGCCAAGTTATACTCTTTGCTCTCGCCAATGCGGAAGTTGCCAAACGAAACTTTATTCCGCATCTTCCAGCACGTATGTGAAGAAAATATTCTACAGAGCTACCCGTGGCTGTTGAGCGACAGTCCTTGGACTAACCTCATATTTCCCGCCATCACTTATCTTCCTTCAATGGCAATCAGCTCCGTATGCTACCGTTGGCGTGCACTTGCATTGTCATCACCTAGTTTGTGGGCAAACCTATCAGTGAAGACACACACTACGACCTTGGACAAAGCAGAAGCCCTGGTTGGTTTCATTGATACAATCACTCGATATCTGGAGAGATCCGGTGATTGGCCATTAAGGCTTGAACTTACTATACAGGGTCCGCTCATCATCAGGGACTCGGAGATTCCTTGCCTAACACACCTTACACAGCATGCTTGTCATTGGGGAACATTCAGGTTTAATGGAACTCACTCATTAGTGGAGTATGACATACTCTCTGAACTTCGTTTTCCTTTACTTGTAGAGTTGGAGCTTGGCTGGGAAGTTACATTGCAGGACTTGGATCTTTTCGAGCATTGCCCAAGACTCCGTACACTTTCCACCTCCGGGCCCGTGCGGCCAACGATCGGGACCCTTTACAGTCAACTCGATCATTTCACAAGTGAGGGCTGGACTCTGACAGATTCGGCCAAAGTTCTTCGTAGGTGCCCCTCTCTGAAATCTTTCGAGTTGGATTGTATCATGTATGATGATCTAGAGGAGGGTGCACTAGGGACATGGCCTAATATCACATCAATCGCTCTTGTGAATAGCTCATCGTCAGATATAGTCTTTTCCTCCTCCAACTTTCCTTGCTTGAATAAGCTCGTAGTAGATAACACTAGCTGGCGAGGCGGCTATGGTTCTACTCCATTTATCTCCAGATTGGCTCGTATAATTACCACATTCATGCTCAGTAGCACAGATATGTCTGATGTGGACCTTATTGCAGCTCTTCGAGTCATGCCAGCCCTCCTCCATCTTGAAGTTAACCAGGGTGGATGGGAGCAGAATCCAATCACTTCGCATCTGATCTCCAGCCTAACTCACCATCAATTCACTTCCATCGAGTCTCTTGTTCCCAAGCTACACAGTCTTCATTGGAGATTCGATTCTGTTGATGCACTCGACGACTCTGCTTTTGTTAGCATGGTTGGTTCGCGTTGGTTCAAAACTGGTTCGGATTTATCTGCGGAGATGTTGGCAATGGGGAAAAGTTGTATCCGCTCTGTTGTTCTCAAGTTTACTTTTCGAGCAGTTGATGCAGACATCTATAAACCACTGCGGATTTTGGATGCAGAGGGATTGAGAGTAGTGGTTGCTGGAACAAATGGAGTGCAGGTATAATAATCTGGGTGATGCATTTTGTTGTGTTTGTCTGCATAAATTTTTGTCTTGATCTCTCGTGTACATCAGCACATTACTTTGAATTCCAAGCCTAACACGATAGTCGATATTATTTAGCTCTGAATGCCGAAACGTTCTCTTTGGGTTCGTGTATGTGCTAGCACTTACAGTAAAAGCCTATATATCGTCAATGACGCGCTTCCACGTTCGACAGAGAGCTTTACTAAGAGAGACACTAGTCACTACTAAGTACTTTTTTCTAGGCTGTGAGTTTTTCATTGGAAGACCACGTAGCGGCGCCCATTCCGAGAATGGAAACTAAGTACCACCGTGGACTGTCTACAATCAATTTGGTCCCCATCAGCATCACTCCCGAACAGTAGACTTATGTCCCCTTCGGGGTGACATACGAAAAAATTGGAACGATACAGAGAAGATTAGCATGGCCCCTGCACAAGGATGACACGCTTTCCCGGAGTGGTAGACCTACGGGTCTCAATATTTATTTATTTTGCTCTTATTTTTATTTCGCTTTCATTCAATAGAA